ATAATAAGGTCATTCCAAAGTGCAACTTGTTGGTGTCATGACTGCAGGTGTTTTTAACTGCAGACTAACGAGCAGATCTAATCTGAGGCAGGTGTCCATTTAGGAAAAGGAAATTGACTGGGTGTGTTCTTATTTTCTACCTCCAATTTGAGTGATTCCATACTTTTTTCCCCTGTGCTTGGTCAATAAAAGTAACATTCACTGACTTCCACAATGTTTTCTCTTCATTTCTTTGTGTTCCTGAAAGCCAACAAGTTTCACTTTGGAATGACATTATTGTGTCATGTTTTTGATCTGAGTTTGTTTTACAGAATGAAATCTGAATGAGTGCTCATCCAAGACTGGTGATTCCATACTTTTTCCCAGGGGTTGTATAGCCCATTAAAAACAACAAAAGCTGACCAAAGTGCTTTAAGTTAAGGACTTGAATCAGTAAAAACAAMAATCAAACTAAAATGCACTGAAACACACAAAAAATATTATTTTTAACACAGTTATACAGAAATAAAACTCACTTTTTTGGTGTTTTCTTTTGCATCTCTTTCTGTCTCTGTTCCACCTCTTCCAAATCCTCTTCATCTAAATCTGATGCCAGGGACATTTCATCTGCCGCGTCTTCGKCATCATCATCATCTGAAATGTGAATATCATCGTCTTCATCTTCCAGGTTGTCGGCTGCCTGCATGTCCCCCTTAGAGATATCGGCCATCACCTGATGGACAAAACAACACAGCGAAGGAGTTCAGCTGCAGTGGAAATGTGATGAATAGTCGAGAAAGACTGTAAAAAAATAAACCTTTTGTTTCTTGATGGAGGACAAAGAAAACAAGGATGAGTCTGTGGTGCCGGCGATGGAAACACCAGGCAGATCCATCTTCAGCTCCACTCTCTCCCTCTGCTTCCTCTTCTCCTTTAACAGCTTCCTCTTCTTCCTGATGAGTCAAAATCCTTCAGAGTAAGAAACAAGCAATGCTTCCAGAAAAAGAGAAAAAAGTCAAACAAGTTGTACCGTTTGAGCTCAGCCACTTCTTCAGCTTTCAGCTCTGCCAGTTTTTTATCAATTTTTTCATCATCATCATCATCTTTCTCCTCTTCATCCTTCTCCTCCTTTTTGTTGTCTGCTTCAGCTTCTGAGTTATTCCCTTCTTCATCTGAGCTTAAACTATAAAAATATCAACGTTTTAATGTTAGTCCTCTGTGAAAAGCTCCAGTAAGAAAAACAAACATATTTTTGTAGCTCAGTGAAGTGTTTACTTGATCTCCTGGTCGAGTTGTTTGGCTTCCTCCTTCAGTTTCTTTGCCCAAAATTTTCTTAGMGTTGTCCTCCAGTTCAGCAGCTGACTGAAAGGACAAACAGACAAGTTTCACATGAGAACCTAATTATTTCCTGTCATGGTGACGTTTTATTATATACAGAGAAAGCTTTACCTCTACTGCACAAAGGCAGATATGTAAACTCTAAATCTTTCTTAAGAATGACTGCGCTGCTTTTAAATSAAATTGTGACCAGGCCTGTCGCAATAAATCTGAGTCAGAGCACCAGTTWGAAACCTGAATAATTACAGCTCTAATACAAGCATTTAGTCAATAAAACCTAACATTTTACCGGAGTTCTTTGCGGCCAAGTACTTTAATGTCACGACAGCACTCCTTTATCTCATCTGTGGTGGCTGAATGGGACTCCAGGTGTGGATTATCAAAGGTGATCTGCAAGAAAGAGTCAAAGTGCAAAGCTAGTGTTTGTTCAACCCAAACAGAAAAGTCTTTAWATTATTTTCTTACAAATGAGGAGACATTAACAGTTTTGTTTATTATTATCCAGTAGAGAAAGTAGAGACATTAATTAGCAGTTTTTAACAACAGGAACCTCACCTCGTTGGATTTTCCCAGGAAGTCGACAGGGTTTTCAGCTTTTAGGAATTCGGTTACGGTAGAACGGTGGTAGAGAGTCAGGTCACCGTCTGCGTATCCCTCCGCCTGTGTTATAGTGAAAATAAAAGCCCACAAACAAGTCTTGCGTAAAATGACTAAAGTCATAAATATGTTGGACTATCTGGCTTATAAACACTGTTGTATATGTACTTGCCTTCGGCTTCTTGACAGGAATCAGCTCCTTCACAGTTTTGGCCTGCACCTCCACCTCTTTGAACGCGTGTTTAGGTTCAAAGAACTTATTGTCGATTTTGTCTGGGGCAACAAAACCTAAGAGGGGCAGCAAAACCCTGGCTTAGAATAGATCTACGGAGGTGTTCCTGGAAACAGAACTCCTCTCTTAAATCACAACATGTACATCTGTAGCTGCCGTCTACCTTGACAGATGACGAAGATCTCAGCTGACTCGTTTCTTGATGCCTGTGGCTTGGTGGCCTGTACCTTCTTGAAGAACTGCTGGAAGATCCAGAGCAGTGGCTGGTAGTCTTTGGAGCGGAAAACTTTGGTGATGAAAGTTCCTCCTTTGTTCAGAAACTCACAGGCCAACTTCAAGGCCATGAGGGTCAGGTGAGCTGAGGACAAGGACAAGACCATTTAGAAAATGGACTCAAAAGGAAAAAAAACATCCGGACATGTGAAGAAAAAGTAAACAAGGGTATGTATATTTCTTTAAAAATATATATATGCACATTAAGTTGTGGCAAATTMTGCACTGATCAAGTTTAATTAAAACTTTATCTTACCTTGAGAAAAGGCGTCATGCTGCCAGTTAGTTCCCACATTTGGGGCTCCATCRTTTAGCACAACATCTACTTTCCATGTTTGAAGCTCCTTTCGAAGAGCCTGTATACGAAACAGCAWTGATCTCAAACCCATTAACTCATTATTTTACATTCTAGAAAAGAAAACRTCATCTTCCTGTCTCTCAAGTTTTATATCAGCTGTTACAAGAAAATAACTTCCATCACGTAGCGGCGACATTCTCACCTGTCTGCATTTGTCAGTCGTAATGTCTTCTTGCAGCGTCACCACGTTGGGGATGGGCTTAATGGGGACCAAGTCAACGCCTGACAGGAAAACACAATTTGTCAGATATCACTGCAACTRCTTGATAAGCTTCAACAAAAACAGGACAACTGATCATCCAAGCTGATAACAACGCTCACCGATGATGAGACTTGAAACCGGCATAAACTTCGATGCTACCTGCAACCTGGGGAGGAAATCGTGAATTTTATTAAATTTAMTCAACTATCTATGTTTGACAAAGTAAATGTTAATCATCTGACTTTTATAGCTTCAGCTCTACATCTATTATCATGCTGCTTTTCTATTTGATTTGACCTAAGATTATTTTGAGCATTTAAATGAAAAATAGTCAGATCCATCAGTTGGGTTTAAACAACGTCATTACTTACTCTTTAAATATTAATCATTGTGCTAATTTCCCCATTAATGAGAGAATCTTAACTTATTGTTTAAATSTAGGAATTTACTTATTATTACCAACAATTGCTGATATGCCAGGACAGTAGATCTGCCATAAGCTCTGAACTTGTCATAATTTATTCAGATCTGAGTTGACAGGCTGCTTACCATCCTCCTGGAGCAGCACACAGGTCGATCAGAGCTCTGGCTTTCTGTAAAAACGTGAACTTACGGTTCAGCTGAATGAGTTTGAAGGAAGAACGAGAGCGATAACCTGAAAACACACACAATGAAATGAAATGAAGCAGGCGTCACTCTGAACTCCTCTGAAATCTGTTTTAGCTAAGGCTAAACTACAGCTGCTCCGGTGTTTCATGGGATTTAAACCCTACCTGTTTCTTTCGCCAAATGGTAAAATTTATCCTTTCTGGTTTTTCCAACTTTTAACTTTTTTCCCATTTTTGTCGCGGTGGTTTTTCACGGGACTAGTCCAGTCTCAAGAAAACAACACGTGCGGACGTATCGGCGCAGACATATGACGTCAGACGATGGCTTCTTTTTCTTCTTCTGATTTTTTTTTTCTCTGTTGTGTCAGTTTCGCCTCCTRTTGTCAGCTGCACAGAAAGCAGCATTCAAATGGTATTAGTAATTCTGTGGCAAAATATTATTTATATATATTTCTGCTTCTTCCTGATAGAAATGTAAAGTTGAAAAAAAGAAATGACAGTATTTTGTACACAAAAGATGCAATAAATTTCAAAAGAAGACTTTCAACCATGCTTTGGAGACAATATTTTATCAATAAAATACTGAYAGATGGTTAGAAATGTTGCCATGTTTATTTATTGGTGTTTGCTGTTGTTTTCATTTTAGAATGGCAGATTATATTTTTTTATGATGTTGAGTTTTAAATCTGAGTTAGAAGGATAAAGCAGAAAGTTTGCCAATATTAGCTACCTGCTAGAGTTAAGTGTATTGAAGTTATTTGTCATAGCTAGAGTCAAAGCATTCACTCAGATTTGTGATACTTTGTTTCAACGTTCTATTTTATTCCAGTGTTTTCTATTTATTTTACTTGTTTCTTAATTATTTGTACATGAAGCAAACAGCAACAATCAAGCCACTTATTCTATCTTACACAGAAAGAATTATTTTTACATATTTTAGTTGATTTGATTTTATTTATTTATTTAACAGGAAAATATTATGAAAAATCAAGCCTGACTCAGCATAATTGCTTTTTTACAGCAGGTTCCTGTTCTGCAGCACACAAAAACACTCAGAATTACAGCATCACAATCACATCATTATACACCATAGACACAAAGACAAACAAGCATACCAAATTTCAAAAAGGCAGCATTTGCAAAATAAGACATGTAAATATGAGCACAACAAAAAGTGTCCAGCAAAAGGCAGATAAGATTCTTCTTAAAGGGCTGTAGTTTTGAAATGGACTTTATGTTTT